ATGAAAATGGATGGGAGAATATTATACCTACTCATCTACTCCCTCCGTTTCAATTTATGTGAACATATTTTCTTTTTAATCTGTGCCAAAAAGAATGACGTATTTCCTTATTTGGAAACAATTTACCTTTATGCAATGATTTATAGCCACACAAAATATATGTGCCTCATTTTTAACCACAAGTTCAAAAGTCCTTTTTCTTTTCTTAAACTTCGTGCTCAGTCAAATGGGTTCACATAAATTGAAAGGGAGGGAGTATATAAGTCGACCGATCTGATTCCACGCACCCAACTGGCATTGACTTCGTTTTTCTGCCAAAGTCAAATAATTTTACTCATAAATATCAAGGTTGTTAATTGTTATACAACAAGTTGTGGGTTATAAAATTGCCACATCCAAGGCAGTGCACATTTTTTATTTCCTTAGCAGCCAGATAAAAAAAAATTGGTGTTTTTTAGTCAGGTAAAAAAATGTCTATCCAAAGAAAGAAAATATTTTTAAAAAAAACTTTAATCAAATATCTGAACAGATCTGATTCCACGCAACAACTGGCAATGACTTATCTTCTTTTAGTAAGTCAAAATAATTTATTGATAAACACTAACATGGTAGTGTCTGACACAACAAGTTGTGGGATTAAAAATTAAAAATGACATTCTAGAGCCGCTCATAAATAATAGCCTTTATATATATATTATATACAAAAAATATACTTTTATGAACTTTTGCGCCTACCGGATATAAATATTTATATTGGGAAATTACAAAAAGTGTTCGAAAACTTTGTGATACTCGAGTGTTAACTTTAAATTTCTCTATCTATATTTATATGAGTTTGATCTTTTCAATTTATTACTTTTTCTTAGTTGTGAAGGGTTTCTTCAAGTGAAATTTTTTGTGCTATCTCCTTGTTTTCTTTTCTCTAATCCCACACAAAAAAAAAATGCGTATTTGATATCTTTTATTAAATCCTCTCTACTCCAATTATTTTGTTCCTTCCTCTCCATATTAACCTGGCAATATATAGATTCCAAGTCTTCCTCTTCTTGCTATCATTTCCACTATCTGATTCTTGACTTGATGGCTTACACTGCTGTAGTTTCTCTTCTTCAAACTCTTGAGCAACGAAACCCAGAACTCTTTCATGATCAAACTGCTAATAGGATCGAATCTCTTCGTGCTACTGCTGAATATATTCTAAATGTCCTTGAAAAACTTAGTAAGATCAGTAGGTTTGACACTGAAGAAACCAAATCTTTAGAGGAAAAAATAGTTGCTGCTAGTGATGCAGAAGATGTTGTCGAGCTGAAGATTTATCAAATCATCAAAGGCTTAAGTTGGACATTTGGAATTTTATAACACCAGGATTTGCTACCAATTGTTGAAAAAATGGATACAACAAAGAAAGAATTGATGGAAATTGTTTCTGCTTTTAGCACAAGTACTCATGATTCTGCTGATGATCAAATTCTTGAACTATCTGAGGATTCTTTGATTGGCACTTCTTCTAAAAGTAATCCAATGTTGTCAAATTTGGAAAATGATATCGTGCAGGGACTCGATGATGACTTGGAGATCATAGTTAAAAGATTGACAGGACCACCGTCAGATCTAGACATTGTCACAATATCCGGCATGGGTGGCATTGACAAAACAACACTCGCTAGAAAAGCTTATGATCATCTCCCAATCAGGTATCATTTTGACATTCTTGCTTGGGTTACAATATCTCAAGAATTTCGAAGTAAAAGTGTGTTATTAGAAGCGTTACATTGCATTTCAAAGCAAACAAATATTATAAACGAAAATGATTATCTTAAGAAGGATGACAGTGAGTTAGCCGATCTGGTGCAGAAAAAACCTAAAGGGTCGAAGATACCTTGTTGTTGTTGATGATATTTGGAGTATGGATGTTTGGGATAGTATAAGAGGAATATTTCCTAATTGCCACAATAGGAGCCGAATCTTATTGACTACTAGGGAAACTAAGGTAACGATGTATGCAAATACTAGTAGCCCTCGTCATGAGATGAACCTCTTGAATGTAGAAAATGGTTGGAAGTTACTTCGTGATAAAGTGTTTGGACCAAAACATGATCATCCTCCTGGGTTGGAAGAAATTGGAAAGAAAATAGTAGAAAAATGTCAAGGACTACCCTTAACAATTTCTGTGATTGGGGGACATCTCTCTAAAATGACCAGAACATTAGAAAGTTGGAAGGATGTTGCTAGGTGAAATCGTTGCTAATCATCCAGATAAATGCTTAGGAGTGCTCGGTTTGAGTTACCACCACTTGCCTATTCACCTCAAACCTTGCTTTCTTTCTATGGGTAGCTTCCCAGAAGATTTTCAGGTTGCATCTCGAAGATTGATCCAATTATGGATCGCGCAATGTTTAATAAGGACGTCTAGAAGTCGTAAAAGCTTGGAGGAAGTGGCAGAAGATTATTTGTAGGATCTTATCAACAGGAACTTGATAATGGCTAGAAAAAGGAGATTCAATGGTGAGATAAAAACATGTGCAATGCACGATCTACTGCGTGAATTCTGTTTGATAGAAGCTAAAACGACAAAGTTTATGCATGTTGAAAGAACTTACCATACTCCTCCAACACAAGCATAATGTTCGACGCTTCAGTTTTCAAACCCAATATTATTCAGTTGATAAGTGTTGTAGGTTATTTATTTTCACGATTGGCTCGAAATTATGAAACCCCTGTTAAGAGAAAGTATTCTAAACAAGCATCTCGTGTTAGGGATGCCAAATCTAGAGGAACTTTCTGATCTCTTTTCTTCCTGTTGTACAAATGAAGTCTTTTCTGAGACTCTCCCAATCTAAGGAGATTGATTATTCGTGTAACAACTTCAGCCAATGGACAAAACTCGAAGAATTTAAGTGTTCCAATGGACTTGTTTCCTGCTCTATCAAGAGTTTTGTTTTCCCAACATCGCTTAAAAGTTTGACTTTAATTCACTTCTTTTGGTTTCATTGGGAAGATATATCAACTCTTTGTCATGTTGCCAAATCTTGAAGAGCTCAAACTTAAGGTCCACTGGTGATCAAGTATGGAGATTGAGCGACGAAGGCAAGTTCCAAAGCTTGAAGTTGTTATTTAAAGGCATACATCTTGAGCGTTGGGAAGCTATCCCAAATCTAAAACGCCTTGTTTTGAAGAATTGCAACTACCTAAAAGAAATTCCAATAAATTTTGGGGAAGTTTGTACATTGGAGTCAATTGAGTTACACAATTGCAGCAGTCTAGCTGAGGATTCTGCAAGAAAAATTGAACAAGAACAAGAAGCCATGGGAAATAATTCCCTTAAGGTCTACATCCATAACAGTCGCAGTAAGTTTTACATCTCTCTAAAAAATTCTTCGATTCTTCACATTAATTATTACTCCTTTGTTAATACCTCCTTGAAATTAAGATGATGACTTCTATTTTTTATCTTTGCATATATATGTAGGGGTGTTCATAAAAAAACAAAAAATCGAACCAAACCGAAAACCGAACCAAACCGATCAAAAATATCGATACTTTTTATGTTTGGTTTGGTTTTGGTTTTGAATTTTTAAAATCGATCAAATTTGGTTTGGTTTTGGTTTTAATAAAAAAATAACCGGAAAAAACCGAACCAAACCGACTATAAAAGTAGCTATTCAAATTTATTATTACACCTATATATATGTATATTTTTATATAAAGTTTCTAAAATTTTATGGTACATATTAGTCATTTATATTTTTAGTCTATGTCTTTGCTATTATAATAATCTAATTCTTTGCCTTTACATTCTAGTTTGATTGGTAGTTTTCTTTTGCTAAGTACGAAAATTTATTTCATGTTAAAAATAATCAATTTTTAATTGAATACTTTAATTATTCATCACTATTTGATTCAATTATCATCAATATATCTTGGTAAATGATAGATTTCTCAAAGAGCAATTAATTTGATAGTATTACATTGAAAATATAGTCGTCGGAATATGCGTTTGGTAGTGTATGTCTCATATTTAAGAAAAAAACCGATGAATAACCAAAAAAACCTAACAACCAACAAAGACCGAATCAAACCGAATCGATAAAAAACCGACTTAATTGGTTTGGTTTGGTTCCAATATTTAAAAAATCGACTTAGTTGGTTTGGTTTCTTTTTCGGGAAAAAACGACCCAAACCGAACCATGAACACCCCTACATATATGCAGGGCAATAAAGCTTATTTTGAGGGACCATTTCCAAATGCGAAACCTTTCATTAGTTTATATTTTGAACTTTTATGTCCATATCTGTTGTTAAATTTATGTTTTAGGAATAAGCCATATTTAATGCAAGTCTCACCCATTTCTGATTTAGTATTTTGTAAACCACAACTAGTGATGTACTGTATTTACCTCTCTATAACAGCATCGTTATATAACATTCATTAAAGCTTAGCTTTTTATAGAACCAATTTTTATGAAATGTTATAATATATGTTCGCTATAGCAGCCAAACAATCTGGAACAAATGAGGCTGTTATAAAGAGGTTTGATTTCTATTTTGTTTTATGTGATAGTTCCAAATGAATAAGGTGTCTATGCATTGTAGGTTTCACACTGTTTTCTATGACAAGTAGTGTCCTTGCGCGCACTTCTACCATTACTCTTTCATTTTAACAGAGTAAAATATTTTGAGCAAATCTCACCCTGTTTTGTAATTTTGGGTAGAACAGAACAAATTGCTGTAGTCTCAACTCAATGATCAATGGAGGTTCAGTTCAAATTTGTTTTAAAAAAATAATAGAGTATAATATTTGTTTCCTGCTTCTATAGAGTATAGAGAAATGTCCATCGAATTACCAAGAAAGGGTGTGGTGGAGTATTAACTATTCCTTCATCCGTAACCAAAGTTCTCAAATTCGAGTCGCTTTTGTTAAGGAGCGCTTTACCCCTAATATGGGGCTTCCCCGCAATCTTGATTTAGTCGAGTCCCAAACCAAAAATAAGAANACTAAAATATACATCTTTTAACTTTTGAAAAATGAAAACATATATGCATTGAAACTAGATTAGATCAATATGTTGAAAGCATCAATATTGATCTTACCTGTTATGGTTGTGATCAACCTTCTTGGTACTGTACCAGTGCCCTGTAATCAAGCCTCATAAAGCATACCAACCTCGATACGTTTGTTGAAAGCATCAATATTGATCTTACCTGTTATGGTTGTGATCAACCTTCTTGGTACTGTACCAGTGCCCTGTAATCAAGCCTCATAAAGCATACCAACCTCGATACGTTGAGGTAATGGCACACCCAAAGCAGGCAGTGCAGATCTGCAATTGCTGTGCAAAACTTCATAGAAAGCAAGCATTGTTCTATCAAACCATCCACAATGCTTACCAATATAAAACCTCGTCTTTCCACGAATATGGACCACCCCAGCAAGCTTTGCCTCTTCCAACTCGGGAATTTCGTCTTCTTCCTCCGTCGAATTATGGCTGGAGCACTGAAGCAGATGAGCCCGTAAACTCTCAACAACTTGATTAACCAAATCATCACCTTCAAGACTAAGCTTATCCGCATAACCATACCGGATCACACATCTATAAACCCCTTTGAGACCTAGTTTGCTAACAACTATCCTTTCACCTGGTGCTACTTTAGGTACTAGAAAATACCGAAGAGTTGTAAATACAGTAACTTTGTGAAGAGATCTCATGTTCTTTATGTAATGACCTAATATTGGGGTTAAACCGTCTTGAATATTTGTATAGAAGAAGCAGAGTCCTGGAACTCTCTGAAGACCTGGATCCATTAGCAGTGTCGTTAGTGTCTCCAAGTCTATCTTGTGCATCAATTCATACTCGAGCTTTCTCTGCCTACCATAGAACCAGCCAAACATAATGAAAGCAAGGATGAGAGAGATGGCAAAAGGAATCCAACCACCTTCTGGAATTTTTGTGAAGATTGCACTAACATATACACTTTCCATCACAAAGAACACGATGAAGTAGAGTGCAACCAGAGCAAGTGGAGTTCTCCAAATAATGATCATAACCAATGAAAGCAATATAGTGGTTATAAGCATAACCAAGCTAACAACAACACCTGTTAGAGAATCAATTTTAAGTAGTTAATGCAATATTTACTACACTGACGATAGAAAAGAGGTTAACAGTTGCAAGGACAATAAAGGATGAGATCTCCTTTAGCACAATGACTCCATATTGTAGTTTATTTGTCAGTCAGAAGAAAATTCATTCCACTAATCACTGCTGTTACATGCATACATTGGCCAACATAGAAGCATATCAAGGGTATGCATATCACATGTAGATGATATCAGGGGAAAAGCCCAGTTTGCTAATGTCTTCGGCAGCACACTCGTCATGACTACTATCAAAAAAGCTCCTAATGAAGATGAATATTTCACATGGAGGCGTGTGTATCTTTATGCTGGGTGTGAAGTAACACCAATCAGACGAAAAGATTTCCACCTCAAACTATAGAAAAAATGCAATTTATTCCTTAATAAACATAAAATACATATATGTAATTTTATCTGGACAATGCTAAACAAGACAAGAAAATTTAGTTGAACTTGATTTGCACCACATATATGAAATGTATCACTACTATTCATTCATGAAATTTCTATTTTGACAATGCTAAACAAGAAAATTTCTGAAAACAATGAACCTAATAGTATGAGAAAATTCAGGTTCACAGTTTGTTTAGCCTCAGTTCATTACACCAGTTCCTCCTTGAAATATCATCACCAAGTAGCAGTGAATTAGGTGAAGAAACTGCAGTAGTCAATGTCAGGCCACAGTAACAACCACCTCCTATGAAGAGGAATCCGTAAAGGAATTAATTCAGGTAAAATAATCACCAAGAATACAAGATTAAAAGCAGGATTTAGAGAATCTTACCAAAGGCATTTCCGATGTCTTGTCCGTCTCCAAAAATTAGTATGACTGCAACACAGAGAATCATGAGGATGTAGTTAACTTCTGGTGAGTAAACCTCACCTTCTTTGCTGGAGGATGTGTGAACTACCTTCACCCGAGGAAAATAATCCAACACAACTGATTGCTTAATAACAGAAAAGGTGGCTGAAATCAGCGACTGACTTGCAACTATTGCAGCTAATGTGGCTATCACAAAAATTGGCCAGTACACAGCAGATGGTATAAACTTGTAAAATCCATCAAAATGGTCGTTTGGATTTCTGATCAAATATGCCGTCTGGCCCGCATATGTCAGCACTAATGATGGATATATAGTAAAGAGAAATGCTATCTGCCAGAAAATGAGGTCCCGTAAATAATAAAAAACAAGCAAACAAGAAGAAGAGACTAAGAGAAATTCTAAGACGTAGCAAGTATTTTACCCGAATCGAACTCCTGTTGAAATGACCAAGATCAGCAAACATTGCTTCAGAGCCTGAAAAATATGATATGATTGTACTATTAAACAGAGGATGCTTACTAATCTACTTGTGTATACTCAAATACATCTATCGCCTTCCCAAGATGCGGGAAACAAGAAGACCAGCATCTGTTGAAAATAAATAACAGGAAAATTCATAATTTTCCTCCAGAACATGTCCAAAGTCAGTTACACTTAAAACTTTTTGGACAATTTGGTAGCCCCATTATTTGTCAAAAGTGTACCTAATATCACATGGAGAGGACACGTGGCATAGAAATTATTCTCACTTTCAGTCGGTGTGTGAAGCTAAAAGAAACATGTGGTGCTCCAATTGGTAGCTAGTAAACGTGTTTCCTTCTTTTTTTCTTTTGACTGATGCAATGTGTTAATAATTCATTTTTTTTGAATTTGTACTTTCCTGGATAAGATTTTACTTTCATTGTTGTTCAGGGTTTCCGCTCCACACAACTTCCTATTTCAATAATCTTGAATCTACCTAATAAGATCTTCATTTAATTGTAAATAACTTAGTGCCTTGTTGAAGAAAGAAGATAAAGAAAATAAACGAAGAACGAAGTTGATTAGAGGAGGCCAAACCACAAAAAGATTTAAAAACTATATATTAAAAGATATCGAAAAGCATCCATGTCTCCTACCAGATCTTGGCCAGAAAATAACTCTGGCAAAGGTACTCTCCACCCCCTAACCTCTTGCATCCTGTCTTTTTCTCTAGCCCTCAAACCCCACAACACAAAAATAAAAGAAGAGTGAAGAATCCAACATCTTAGCCACAAAAAGGACAAGGTCGACGTTGGAACTCTCTGAGCTAACTAATCTAGAACAATCTCCACCTTTTGTCTCTCTCAAACCACACCAGTTCGATGAGACGGCGGTCTCCAAAGAAAGAAAGCCAAAAGAATTTTTGTACTGTAAACATACTTCACAATAATGTTCACCTCCACTCCATCTGATTTTGAGTTCTTGTGAATCTGAATTGAGCAAGACACCGGCTATGAGCCTTTCCCGCCAAGGGTAGACATTGCATACATGTTAATTGGTCCAAGTTTTCCCCAATCTTAATTGCAAAAATAAAAGGAAAAGAAGAAAGTGAAAAACTCCAAGTTTCTGCTGAAAACAAAGAGAGAGAATATTTAAAAAGGGAAAAGGAGGGGGAAAAAAATAGAGGTAAATAGCACGTGACAGCGCGTGCATAAACTCCCCCCTCTCTCATCTCGTTATATCTATCTAGTCACCACTCAGGGAGGTATAGATACACTTTGGACTAGTAAAGAGGAATATTAGGTCAAAGTTTATGCAAGTAACAGCCATTTCAGAACTAGTTGAGGGAAAAACGTTATGACTTTTTCCAAAAATAAAACTAAAAGTGAACAGTGAATAATGTGATAAAGCAAGACATGTTTAAAAATACAGATATTTGAAGACCCAAACAGTGACCTTGGGTCAAAATGGAGCTACCGCATGATAGGATCAAGGATCATCTCTGCTTATGTCATACATCACATTCAGCACATAACCCAGTTATCAATAAAGCAAAAAAGTCTTCCCAATTTCACAGTTACTCCTATCATAAGAAATTGATATTTCAAGGCCCATACCATGTGAATTTCCAAACAACGAGACAAAACATGAGGAAATGGATTTATATCTTAATCCAAATGAAGAACTATTTCAGACCACACCAATATTAAGTCTTACCCGTAATGCAGAGGATAGTACCACCAAGATATATCCATCCTTGCTTTCCATTTCTTAAGAAGAAGTGGACTATGTAATGGGGTGATATTGCCTTGAATATGCTAGGATAATGCTTAATGATACTGTATATCCCAACGAGAGGAGTGGTAAGAGTCCATGCACCCATGATAGGAGAGAACAAGAAACTCACTCCTGAAGTACCAAATTTCTGCAGGAGGAATAGAACAATGAGAACGATTGCTGAGAGAGCTTCGACCAATGCTGCAAGTAGCAAACAGAGAAATTGTGAATATCAAGAGAGAGAGAGAGAGAGAGAGAGAGAGAGAGAGAGAGAGAGAGAGAGAGAGAGAGAGAGAGAGAGAGAGAGAGAGAGAGATGTTTAGATTAAGGGGGCCAAGAAACATGGTTCGCGCACGATCTAGTGTTTAAAAAGACTTCCAACTTTCAGCAACTGCTCTGCATCTCCTTTTTGTTAATCTGACTTATTGACCTTAAAGTGTTCTATCATCACTTAATTACTTCAAACAATTACTAGAATGAGGATTCAAGTGATTTCAAATAGTTACCAGAATCAGGATTCAAGAAACATCAAATGTAAATCTGTGAAAGGTCGCTTTTAACAACAAGCACAATACCTTAAAACCAAGAAACTACAAGTATCAAATTTGCTCCTCTACCACTTCCCAATTACCCTCAAAACCTTAAATGCCTCTCCATACAATGAATAATTTGTGCCATACTTACATTTACTGACCGACGGAAAACGTGCTCTTAAGCCATCCATTGCAGACAACACTAACAGAAAGAAGGGACAATAAATGAAACTGAAACTGAAAGAGAAAAACTGATGAGAACTCAAAAAGATGCTGAAAGCAAACTAGACGGCCCAACACAAGCTAATATACCTGAGATGGCAGGTGTAAGTATGCCATCACCGATTAGCATGCACATACCCAACATTGCAATGAAAAGCAGTACCCTTCTGGCAATCAAACTCCTCTCACAAAATTTACCCAGCTTACTTGGCTTTTTTGATTGGTTAACATAGGAATGGCTTGAGTTCAAACTGGCAGTCTTGGAAGAAAGAATCCCAATATTAATATTCCTGCAGAGTAATGAATATAGAGCAAATGTTCCACCTGCAAAAGACCATGTTCCAGAACTAAAATTTCTAGAATGATTACGTCAAAAGCGCAATGAAGAAACACTGTAGTGGCTTTTAAAAGGAATTTCAACCGAAAAATAAAGAGAATTTACTCAACATTATAAACTGTTCAATCTTTAATATATAGAGTCCAACTCTTATTTTATGACCCGGAAATCCTTCTGGAGCCATCCTTTGGGCCAACTTCAAAACTCGGGGATGATGGGCCAGCCCCTCAACCCTACTCCACTTACATACCAGAGTTAGTTCGCTTGGCACAGGGCTCAAACCGGTGATCTAAGACACAAGTCCCTCAACCTTTGCCAATTGAGCTAACCCCTAAGGGCTGAAGTCCTATACTTCAGCCAAAACAAGATCTCTTATGTCTAAAATGTGTAGGATAACAAAGATCAGAAACTATCTGAAAAAGAGAACCAAAGAACAAAATTAATAGGAAAAGAATAGGAACATTCTCATTTATCTTTACCTCAAAAGTCCAAACAGCACTAATGCAATAAAATAATTATAAACATCCTTCATCAACACCTCCAACATTCTCAAAAGGTTAGTTTTTAGTATGAGTTCATAGGAACAGTTTCTTAATCCCCGAGGTACCGAATTCATAAGTAGCAAAAGTACAAAGAGACAGAGATCAGCAATACCTTCGCCCTGATCATCAGCGTTGAGAGCTATGGTAGCGTATTTGACAACACCAATTAGACTGAGCGTCCAAAACATTATGCTGTAGATCCCCAAATAATCATCCTCAGTTGGAGATTTTAATGGCATTGATGGATATACATAAAGTGGAGATGTGACAAGACCCCCAAAAACAACTCCTAAGGTCTTGTATGCAAGGACCAGGTTCCCCCATCGTCCAGTGTCCTAAACCAATAGAGTTTCCGAGAAAGAAAATGAACGAAAAACAACTGTAAAATAGATACTAGTAGAGACAACTTAACTTTGAATGTAAAATTGTTGGTCGAGAAATGACAAATTCCCTAAACTAGTAAACTACAAATCAAAGGAGTTCAAAGTAATTGGATTTTCAAGACTCTGTTTGACTTGATAGATTATTTGATTTCAAATATGAGGAAAACTTCGTCGCAGAAATATTTGAAAAGCCACCTTTTCTTATTCATGTAAAAGGGTAGCAAATGTTATGAATAATATCCAAGTGGAAAGAACCTGAGGCCAATTGAAAATTATCATAAAATTCCTTGGACAGTAAGATTCATGCAAAACACCATTAGCGTATACATGGATTTGAAATTGATGCATCCAAAAGGAGTGGAGTCAAATTTGCGAGAGATACCAGATAAATTGTTATAGGCATTAGTTAAGGAGATAAACTCTCAGCAACTCTCACCAATAAAATAAGTTGTCTCCGCTCTCAATCATCATATTACCATTGGGTGAAGCTCGGTAGGTTAGCTTCATCATCAGAGATATAACTCTTTTTAAATTTATGTTATTTGTAAAGATATTTCTGTAAATTTTTCAATATCATCACATTTTATCCAAACTTTCATCATTTGAAGATAATAGCTTTTTAAAGTTTCATAGAATCTCTGTATGAAATGTTCATAGTTATACACCCTTCCAAGCAGCCTAATTCAGGAAGCTGAAGTTCAACCTCACTTAACGAAAGCAGAATGAGAAATTTCCCCTACGACCAATAAACATCGTAAAAGATTGTTTAAATACATCTTTCATATCACGACCTTATCAAGAATAAGCTTATATCCTGGGGAGATCACCACTTTAAAGCTATAAATGATGTCACAATTGACTATTATATTTTCTAAATTATAATCATGTAGCCAACTTTAAAAACAACATTTTTCCATTTCTCAATTGACTAGGGGTGTCAAATGCTTGATTTGAATGTTTGCAAGCCAACTGAATTTCCAGCTATATTTTGTCACTAAAAGAGAAGCTTTACACTTACTTCAGCCAAAAGACGAGAAAGGTAAATCAAAAAATATGAAAGATATACTGTATCTAATCTCTAGCATAACAATCTGAAGATAATAAAGGAGTTGGAATAAGGAAATATTATCATCATCATTAAAAATTCACCTCAATTCAAATTTACCTGTGCTTGGTTATATGAATCTAATTAATCAATTTTTTCAAATGGTGGTTCTGAGCCAATTTGCTTACACCTCGACTATTTCACCGGTACTTACGTCCTCCCACTATATATCAGGTAACTCTACTCACCTAGACTTAGGCGGATTGAAAAAAAACCATTCATTGTTTTTGCCCCTACTGGGGTTGGAATCTTGGTATCTTCTTCATTACAGCTTCATCAACCACTAGATCATTCCACAGAGTGCCTTATTCACTAATTTGTTTTAAGTTATATCACTGACAGTATAAAATATTTTACACCGAGTGAATTTTAACTAGTGATAATAAGTTGTTTACCATTTTTACTAAGTAAACTTTAGAAGTGACCTGATTGTATAAGTGACCTGATTGTATAAATAATAGGGCATAAAACTTAAAACTTATAAGGCAAATATGAGCTCTCTAGACCATATGCTATCCTTACACTTTCCCAACAGTGGAATAGAAGTCTCTAACCAGATTAAAAGGACTACACCTATTCATGGAAAACACCAGACCTAATAAAAGTGTTCATATAATCAGTTTTTCCTTCAAGGCAGCTAAGAATTTGGAATACACACAAAAATAATGTAGAAACAAAAAATCCAAATAAAATAAGGCACAAGATTTTACGTAACACAAACAAACAAACAAACAAAAAGGAACTGCAAAAAAACAAAGCACATTGTCCCATAATAATAAATAAAATAAAAGTAAAAGATATTAGATAATAGAAATATAGAGACCGCGTGGAATGTGGTTAACCACTGAACCTTTTGGTCATGACAATTGTTAATGGTGTCACCGTCATGCACCGATACCACAANTTTGGAAAGCTAATTGAATTTGTGTGTAATTGGGTCTTGGTCAACATAAAATTAGGAGCCTCTTTTGCAAAGCCACTTAGCAACAATTGTATGTTTGTTTGGGAAAATAATTACGTGGTTAGTATGGAATTTGACGTAATTTGAGGGTTTAATTGCACTATCTAATTCTCAATGGGAGACGAGAATTGGTGTTATTTACACTGTGTAATTACAAGGTTGCTTTTTAGTTTTTTTTTTTGTTTTTTATTTTAATTTATTTTCTTTATAACTTTTTATTTCTAATTTTTAATTTATTTTTTTTGAAATTTTAAGATATATTTTTCTTTGTACATTATTTATCTTTTATTTCTCTACATTTACTTCTTGTGATTCTATGTAATTGCTTATTTTTTATTTATTTTATTATTCTATTTTTTGAAACCACACCTCCTAATATTAGAAATAACAAGTCATTAACAAATTTGGCATATAACGAGTGATGCAATTAAAGTGAAATTTTATTGCTAAATGTGGTTATAAACTTATTATGTTTCCTGATCTTAAGTTGTAGTGGAACTTACTATTATTATGTTGGAATTTGACATATGTTAAACTATTTTTTTTTAATTTTAAAATTGTGTTATATTCATGGTTCCAATTTAGTTATTTTAGTAGTATTGGCTCACATTGCATGTTGTTCATTTTTTAGTTAGAATTGATAGATTAGTTTTGTCAAGCATTTGAATAATATTATGACATTATATTTATAAATATTAATTTATTTTATCAGATATGAATTTTATGATTTTCTTACAAAACGTATGTTTTTAGTTTTTGTAAGTATCAAAACTAAATATTACTTGTAGACATGAAATAATTTACCCTTCCCTAGATTTTATACCGTTTGTTGCTTAGATGCTTATTTTAGGTGTAATATTGATATTTTAACTTTCAGTTCATTTTTGTTTTGTTTTATCTAAAAGTATGAAAACTACAAAAATATTTTTCTTTATTTTAACTAATTGATATTTATCAGCTAGTTACTTTTAGTTTATCTTACTTTTCATAAAATTGAAAAATACAAAAATAGTATTGACAGAAAATAATATTATTTTACTTAGTTTAGTGTGATTCTTAAGTTGTAATCTTAATAAATAGTGAAGTATTTTGAATATTGTCTATTTACTTTAATCAATAGCATTATTAGTCCAAGACATTTTGGTTTATCATTAGCAAAAAAGAAAAGTAGATAAAAAGAAAGGGATATCATGTTATTTTCATATAACAAAAAGCGCACGCATACACATTTGCAAACTCACTCTTAATATTTTTCTTCACATCACCTCTCACACATATAAACAACAAAATCATCAATTGAATTTCGATAGTATTCCACTCATACTTTTAGCCAATGATAAAATACACACATAAACAACAAAATCATCAATTGAAATCTCAATGTATTCCACTCACATAAATGGAGTCCACATGGTTTTGATGTTCATTTCTTCTTCTCCAAGATAATTCCAAAGGCCGAGGATATATAAAAAATACCCCAAAAGCAGAAAAAGGGGAGGTCAAGGACGGAGAGGGAAAAAGGCGAGGGTTTAAAAAGTCTTGATTTCCAATTTTTCCTTTCTGATTTTCCATTCTAGTTCGTTCGTATTAAAAAAATCAGTTCTTGCCTTAAAATTCGAAAATACAAAAGAATATTTCTATTTTTCTTCTTCCGCTTTAAATTTTTGAATTTTCAATTATGGAATTTGATTGAGCTGAGGGGGTTTTGAGTTCGTCATCGTCGTCGTCGTCGGTTTCCGTCCGAGTTCCGTTCGTAATAATTGGGTGCATTTTGCTCGTGTAATTGCTGAAAATCCCCATTTATATAAACTTCAATTTTCAGGTCCATCTCTCTTTCCCGTTTTTTATCTTTTGTTTGGATCTTTGTGGTGATAAGCATGATATTGGCCCTTTGTTTATCCTCTCTCTTTGGTTGGTTTCTTGTTCTGTTTGAATTATGAGAATGTTTGTTTAAAATATCATATGGTTTACTCCTGTCAAATTAAGGTTCAATCATTGTTGTGGGATTAAGCTTGCTATATTTTTATTTTATTTTTACAATTTTGACCATGTTTGCTAGAGAACATTTCTTAGTAGATTAATAGGTCTTCTTTGTGTATAGTTAGTGTTAAAGAATTTCCTTCGATAGTACTTTTAAGTTTCAGTAGGTCAATTTTGTTTGTTTGTTGCTGCTCGTTTTGGGTTACTAGTTTCTCGAGAGTCATATAGTATATAATTTTATAAAGTAATATTAATATTATTAGAAAAGTTTTGAATAAATAATTATACATAAAAAATAACGTACAAGGTTCTATGAATATTTAATGTGGATCATATATGGTGACTTGTTACTTGAGGTCTAGATGATTGAATATCGCCTGAACCTACAAAGATAAATAATCAAAGTTTAATTAGATACATGTGTTTTGCTTATTTTGATTTTATGAGGTACAAACATGGATAATGAAGCGTATATATCGCCTAATATTTTCTTATAGATAATATTGCTGGTATATGCTTCTTTCATTTGTTTCGGTTGCTATGTCGTGACCAAAATTCTTGTTATTGATATTAATATCCCTCCTAAAAGTATAAGTTAGCCACATGAGAAAACATGTTGCGAATTTCGCTAACTAATATATTTCACTTTACCTATAAATACCTTCTTGAACTTTATATACAAAATTAAAAATTATTTGACAATTGACAGAGATATACTACATAATAGTAATCAAGGTACGTGTTCCAACTGTTAACCTTCGAAATCATGAGAATTGACATATCTTTCTAAAGTTTATAATTTCTTCATTACCTTTTTGTAATTTGCATATTTTCATTCCTAGGCATATTTAATACTAATGATTATTTTGACTTCTCTTCTTCACGAGAACAAATGCACGGAAAATATCTTGTAGAAGTCATAATACTCATCTCTCTTTTTTTTTTCTCTAGAATAGATCCAAGGAAAGAACTTAAACCAAAGACTTATTATTATATTTGACCAAAAACGTATTATTATAATTGTAATCTATGGATACAAAACTAAACCAGCATATGCAAAGTAAAGAAATCCAAAATCGTACTTCAATGGATACCTAGTAATGTAAGTTAATCACCTCCATTTAACACACAAGAAAAAAAGTCCATAATCACAAACAATACATATTTATGGACATGCAAAAAGAAAACTGCACTCTTATATCTTTTTTCAGCCACAAATAACTCCAAAATAATTCAACAAATTAATAAACACATATAAGCAGCATGCAAATGCAAAATTAGAAAACCATAGTTAGGAGGAATAAAAGAATATAAACAAAATTTCATTCACACCATAAGAATTGATAGCGTATAGTACAATAGAAAATTTTCAACACAAATTTGTGCAAATAAGAGACCAGGGCAGCATAAGCATGAATGCATGATTATTGAAATGATTAATTTTGTATATCACGTTAGTTGTGAAATCATAACATTCAAACAGATGTGGCTTTTTTTCTTAAAGCTAAGGTTAGTAATAATAAGAATATTATAGAATGTTTAGAGAATTTCTTCGTAAAAAAGATGTCTTTTGATTTAAGAGCCACCACTGCTTAAGGCACAATTGATAATTCAGAAAATTCAGTTACAAAAGAAGGGATATAACACTTGTAGTTACTCTGTAAAAGATAACAGCTTTTAGAGGAGGCACTTTAAATTAGATTTTCTTCCTTTTATTTAAATATTATTATTTTTTCAGTGTTTATTACTACTGAAATCAATATGTAAAGAATCAAATTTACACCACGCCATGTCAGACACTCCGTTTCGGAAAAGTCACCTTAACAGGACGTTTCGTAAAAGTCCAAAAGTCACCTTCTTTAATTTAAATATTATTATTAAATAACTAAATAAGGTATATTTCAATTATTTTAGAAGTTTATTTTAGTAATTCAACTTTTAACTTTTGTGTTTCCCACCTTTATAATAACTAATCTCTATGAATGTGCGTTGCACGTTAATAATTACACGCAGATATTCAATCTGTTTAATAATTACACGTAAATATTCAATCAATAATTAATATGAGTAAAATATACTTTAACCAAACGTTCAAATTTTTCTTGAATTCCCGTCAATGCTTAAGGTTGTACGATAAAAATCTTCCATTGAAATCAAAATTGTATTCACATGCAACATATATATACTAAATCTTGATGAATATCAGATGGCTACTAATACCGAGTGCTGGATTCGTAAGAATATCTATTATTAGTTAAGCAGGACAATTGTTTTTGAGTCTAAATAAAGAAATTTACCGATTTGTTTCCCACATAATTAGCATACTTTAAGATATCAATGCATCAAAATATTTTATTCTTTCCTTGTCTTTTGCTTGATTGGCTTGGACAAGATAAGAGCTTTACTTCTTAAAAACTTTACTAATGATTAGTGCAATATACGCCATGTTGCATCACAAACTAAGTTTTGTCCAAAAATGTTGAACAAAAAAGAAAAACCTTACAAATCCTTTATGATGACAAAGCAATTAATTACCTGCTCTATCTTTTGAGTCATGGACAATATAATATCGAGATCAAATTGACTTTGTTTCCTTCACGGCGAAAATAAGATCGTGATCAAAAGTACACATATCAAGGAGCTAGGCAAAGGTCTACCGGATATCAATTTTAATTAAATCATACAAAAATAAAAACATTAAATCATAAGTACAAAATCTTCCATAAACTTGAATGGAAGTAAAGGAAAACAAAGTCACACAAATAATTAGAATGGTAGAGATAAATGCGTGTTTCTTATTTCATGCAATATTTTTATCGTCTGCAATTAATGTTATCTTGTCTGCCATCATAATAGATAAAATATTTATAAAATCTTACCAACAAAAAGGACATTATCTTATGACTTTGAGAGAATGACAGAGAGAACAGATATCCCATATTTTTCTCTTCAACAAGACCTACAATTGGTCTATAAAAATTAAATAATTAATTTTAATAGAATTAGTCTTCTTCTATGATTATTAAACTTTATCTCAACTCAAAATCGTGCTATCCTTTTAAAACTTTACTTCTAAGTCCGATTAAATTTGATTATGATTAGAATTCGGTGCAAATTAATATTAAGTTACAATTTTATACAACATAGAATTATGTTTTGAAGGACATAAAAGTCAATCAATTTATTGAGGGTATTTTTGTCTTTCAATATTTAGCGTAAAATATTCGTGCTTTTATAATTATATAGATATAGAATAGATATAGATAGATATAAATATAAATAGATAGATATTCTAGCGGCTTTTGTTTTTTTAATCAAAATATTAGTTTCTCCCGTAGTAATAATCATCTTAAGAGTGCTAATCATGAAACTAATAGCGGAAATCTATCAATAGATAATATTTAAAATATCATTAGAATATTAATCAAGTTTGCTTTTCTCTTAGTGCATGTTATCTAGCCGCTTTTGTTTTTTTTTTTAATCAAAATATTAGTTTCTCCCGTAGTAATCATCTTTAGAGTGCTAATCATGAAACTAATAGTGGAAAATAATATTTAAAATATCATTAGAATATTAATCAAATTTGTTTTTCTCTTAGTGCATGTTACTACTGTTTAGTAGACTTATTTGAAGTCTAGTGTCTTTCCTTTAGTGATTTGCTTTAGGAGTTTTAAAATATCATTAGAATACTATTAAGTTTGCTTTTCTCCAAGTGCATCTTACTACTTTATTTTAAAAAGTAAAATATACCTATTTACTTTCTAAAATAGTTTAAGAATACCCTTCGCTATACTACTGAGTTATCTATACCCCTACAGTCATACTTTGGGTTCAAATATACCCCTCATTTAAACGGAGGGACACATGTCATCGTCCTGTTGGTCAATTTTAAATATCTCCTAATTAATTAAAACGACCCATTACCCATACCCGAAAAGTAATTTTCTAAAGTAATTTATTTTTTGTAAAAACTGGAAAAAATTGGATTTATTTTTTACTAAAAACTGGAAAAAATGAAAATATTTTTTCCCCAGTTTTTACAAAAAAACTGCTTTAAAAAAAACTGAAAAATATTTTCTAAAATAATATTTTTGTAAAAACTGAAAAGTAATTTTCTAAAGCAATATTTTTGTAAAAACTCGAAAAACTGAATGTTTTTTTTTTTTACTAAAAACTGAAAATATTGAAAATATTTTTTTCCGGGTTATAGAAAAATATTGCTTTATAAAAAACCGAAAATTAATTTCTAAAGCAATTTGTTTTTTTGTAAAAATTAAAAAAAATAAAAAATAATTTTCTAAAGCAATATTTTTGTAAAAACTGAAAAAAAATATTTTCTTTTTTCAGTTTTTAGTTAATTTGTTTTTAGTTTTTTTCCAGTTTTTAATTGCTTTAGAAAATTGCTTATCAGTTTTGGTTTTCAGTTTTTACAAAAAAATTATTTTTAAAAAAAAAAATCAGTTTTTTTTAAAGCAGTTTTTTGTAAAAACTGGAAAAAAAAATATTTTTATTTTTTCCAGTTTTTAGTAAAAATAAAAATCAGTTTTTTTCTAGTTTTTACAAAAAAAAAAAGTTGCTTTAGAAAATTTCTTTTCCGGTATGGGTGATGAGTCTTTTTAATTAATTAGGAGATATTTAGAGTTGGCCAACAGGACGATGACACGTGTCCCTCCATTTAAATGAGGGGTATATTTGAACCCAAAGTATGACTGTAGGGGTAATAATAATCCAATAATATAACGAGGGGTATTGTTAGACCATATTCAAAAGTACATGGGTATATTTGTCTCTTTGCCATATTTTAAATGTATTTGTAATGACCCGGCCGGTCGTTTTGAGTATTACAACCCCATTTTCCATTTACTGCTCAATTTATGCTTTACAGTTATTTTATGACTTACCGAGTTAATTGGTCCGGGTCCGGTAAGGTTTTGAAATGATTTGGAACACTTAGTTCTAAGGTTGAGAACTTAAGTTGAAAAGGTTAATCGGATGTTGACTTATGTGTAAACGACCTCGGATTTGAATTTTAATGATTCCAATAGATCCGTAGGGTGATTTTAAACTTAGAAGCGCGTATGGAAAATTATTTGGAGGTCCGTAGTGGAATTAGGCTTGAAATGACGAAAGCTAAATTTTTGGGAAGTTTGACCCGAGGGTTGACTTTTTGATACCGGGGTCGGAATCCGATTTTAAAAATTTGAATAGGTTTGTTACGTCATTTTATGACTTGTGTGCAAAATATGAGGTCAATCAGACGTGATTTGATAGGTTTCGGCATCGTTTGTAGAAATTGGAAGTTTCAAAGTTCATTAGGCTTGAATCTATGTGTGATTCGTATTTTTGGTGTTGTTTGATGTGATTTGAAGGATCGACTAAGTTCATATGATATTTTAGGACATGCTGGTGTATTTGGTTAAGGTCCCGAGGGTCTCGGGTGAATTTCGGATGGTTAACGGATCAAATTCGGACTTGGAAGAAATTTGAAAATTTTTTATCTTCTATTGTGATCGCACCTGCGAGAAATTGGCCGCAGGTGCGATGCAGCAGATGCGGCTCATGTTGTGCAGAGGTAGGAGGGCAGGCGCGCAGGTTCGATGAAATTTTCCGCACCAGCGAAGTAGCAGATGCGGTCCAAGGCTCGCAGAAGAGGAGGCAGCTGGGCTAAGTAACTTCCGCAGATGCGGTGTTTTACCGCAGAAGCGGGACCGCAGATGCAGAAATATGGCCGCAGGTGCGAAAGCGCTGGGCAATGTACAAAACCGAAGGGTCCGAGAAATTTTATCATTTTTGACATTTCCAAAGGGGGTGAGGCGGTTTTTGAGCGAGAAATTACGGGAAATCTTGAGGTAAGTCACTTGTGATCATTTCTACTCCATAATATTGAATTATCATCGAATAATTCGACTAGATTACATGTTATTTACTAAATCGAATTATTTGTGGCTATATTCGAGGCGTTTGGAGAGTGATTCGCGAGGCAAAGACATTGGAGATTAAAGAATTACATGGTTTGAGATAAGTAACAGTTCTAAATTTGGTCCTGAGGGTATGAAACTTCGGATTATGTGTTATGTGATTGGTTTTGAGGTGACGCACTGTCACGACCCAAAATCTAACTATGATCGTGATGGTGCCTATGTGTTACAAGGCAAGCCTATTTTCCAAAATATTGCTACTAAATCGATTATAAGAATTTAATAAAACAATACCAACATTTGAATTTCTCATAAACTAAATCAACTCTAAATATAATATAGAAAATATGGAAACGAGCCCCAAACATCGGGGTATCACTAAGTCATGCGCATCTAAAACTATGAACTAAGATATATAAGATGTCTAACTGTCCAAAAGAAGAAATGACAAGAGGAGTAACAAGATCCTCTGGACGCTAACAACTACCTTGTAGTCTCCAAAGATAGTTGGCCTGAACTCAATGATCGCTGTCTTCTAACTCACCTGGATTTGCACATAAAGTGCATGGTGTAGTATGAGTACAACCGACTCAGTAGTAACAGAAATAACTAAGGAACTGAGCAGTAGTGACGAGCTAAGCAGAATAATCCAATTATTTATTTTCACAATTTACAATAAACATGAATAAACAGGTAAATTCCATAAAACCAACAAATGCCACAAAGAAATTAACAGGTAAATGCAGCAACAACCAAAGCAATGAATCCTCATAATAATGTCACTCCATCACTCAGCACTCGCACCCAACTCACGTGCTACACGGATAACTCACGCGCTATGGTATCAATACCTGGACCCGCACGGTCAACTCACGTGCTATGCGGACAACTTACGCGCTATGGTATTAATATCCTCACGACCAGGCCCTCGACCTCACTCAATCATGTACCTCACTAGCCTCACCATCATCAACAAATAAGGGAACATAACCTACATCAAGTATCACAATATATTAGCAAATAATGGAGACTGAGGTAAACATGTACAATAATTTCTATGACTGAGTACAAATAATGTGAGCATGAATAAAGCCTAAGCATGATCTCTAACATGAAGGCATACAAGTTCAACAACAAGTAACTACGTAAATATAGATGATGGCCATGAGGCCTCATGGGACGGACCAAGTCTCAATACCTCGCGTTGCAAACTCACACGCCCGTCACCTAGTGTGGGTATCACCTCCAAACAATCACGTGATATCAAATCTCCGGGTTAATACCCTCAAAGTCAGAGTTAAAACTGTTACTTACCTTAACAGCGTAAAATCCTACTCCGGGATGCCCTCGTCTCTGGACTCGGTCTCCAAAAACTCCAAATCTAACCATAATCATATTAATACCATCAATATAGGCTAACGAATCGAATTCCACAATAAAAATTATAAAATATGCCAAAAATCTGAAACAAGCCAAAACTCGCCCTCGGGCCCACATCTCGAAACCAGTCAACAATGACAGATTCAAAACCCTCGTCCTCTCCCGAGTCTAACCATCAAAAATTTATCAAAATCGGACTCCGTTTGGTCCCTCAAATCCCTACCTAAAACTCTCCAAAACTCAAGCCCTAACTCCCTCAATTTCACTTTGAAATCATCAATCAAATCCCAAAAATGAAGATGAATTCATGAAATATAATCAAAACTGAGTAGAGAACACTTATCCCAATCCTTATGGTAAAAATCGCCCCCAAAATCGCCCAAATCCGAGCTCCCCAACTCGAAATATGACCGAATGAACAAACCCTCGTTTTATATATTTTTCTGCCAGCTATTCTTCCTCGTTTCTCATGCCAAAACGATCCCAAAACTCGTTTTTTATACCTCCAATGGATTCCTTGTGAAATTTTAGTTAAGTTAGGCTTTTGAATCACTCAATTTGACCTTATAATGAAGGAGATATATAGGTTTTAATATTTGCAAATAGTGCAGATTTTTAAATACGAATTCAATGGCAATTTCGTAATTAAGCTGAAAAATCTGGCAACATAATTGTTTAGTAAAATGACCATAAATTCCATATACGATGCCCAAATTCGACGATTCTTTTTGCTATGGCTCCGTAATTATGATACGGATTGCTTCAATTAAATCAGAAATCGGAGCTCATTTGCTTAATGTGGTACCATTTATGCTCTCAAAACGACGTTGAAACATCAGAAATACGAGCACAACGCAGCCCAAACATATCCGAAACTCATCCGAACTCCTCGGGACCCCGTACGAACATACTAACAAGTTTCATAATATAAAACAGACCAACTCAAGGCCTCAAATTATGCATAACAACATTTAAACGACGAAACGCGCCTCAAATCAAACTAAATGAATTTTCGAACTTTCGACTTCCAAAAACTCGCGCCGAAACATATCAAATCAACTCGAAATTAACTCAAATTTTGCACACACGTCACAAATAACACTAGAAACCTAGTCCAACTTTTGAATTTCCATTCCTACCCCGATACCTAATTTTCCACTGCCGACCAAAATCGCCAAATTTCTAACTTTTGCCAATTCAAGCCTAATTCTACCACGGACCTCCACATTACATTCCTGACACACTCCTAAGTCTAAAATCACCCAACGAAGCTAACTGAATCATGAAAATCCCAATCCAAATTCGTTTACTCATAGGTCAACTTCCAGTTGACTTTTTCTAACTTAGCTTGCTAACTAAGAGTCTAAGTGCCTCATTTTACTCCAAAACTACTCCGAACCCAAACTACCAATTAAAAATAACTCAACACAGCTGAACAACACACAAATAAGCAAAAATGGGGGAAACAGGGCTATAACTCTCGAAACGACCGGCCGGGTCGTTACACGCACATGCTAGGTGACGGGCGTGTGGGCGTGCACTGTAGGAATTGTGACTTGGTCAAATTCTATAGAACTCTGTAATTGAATAATCTGTTGATATCGGTACATTCTCTGTGTGTTAGAGAAAATTGAGCTGAGACTCGTATTAAAAATTATACTTAGACATATGTTGTTATTATTGGTACCTACTGGGTCATTTCTGTGGTTGAATTATATGTTCAAATTGTAATTTCACACTCAGTCATGTTCATTCATTTCATATCATATCTCATTCTTTGTTGCTATTTATAATACATCATATTATCATTTTTGGGCTGATTTTCATGACATCTTGAGCGCGAGAGACTGGAAAGGTTGATGACTGAGTGAGGCCGAGGGCCTAATTATGAGGATATTTATGGATCGGGGTGCACGCTACAGCATGTTTCATTGATTTATGCCATGATTGACTTGATATAGCGCTTGGGCTGAAGGAGCCCATCCGGAGTCTGTACACACCCCCGGTAAGTGTAGGTACCTACTGAGTGCGAGTGCCGAGTGTTGAGTGATTGTGAGGAATGAGTGATTGTGAGGAATGAGTGACTGTGAGGAAAGAGTGAATGGGAGAACTGAGTGACTGTTATTCTGAGAGGATGCATTGATTTCATTATTGTTGCATTTAAGTTGTCATATATCATTGTTTTGGAAATTTTTTCTAAAAGGCATTTTCTTCTGTCTCAGTCAAATTTGAAATGAAATTTCTATGAAATTTTAAAAATTGAACTTGAGAGCATGGCTACCCTTTTATGTTGGAAAGTAATGTGTTTGGACTTAGCTAAGAAACCCGTCACTACTTTCAGGTCCTTATTTAATATTGTTACTTAGTGAGTTGGTTGTCATCATACTATACCCTGCACTTCGTGTGCAGATCCAGGTGATCCCGGACACAGTGGATGTTAATGTTTTCACACAGTTAATTTTTCGGAGATTCAAAGGTAGCTGCTATGTTTCGCAGATCTTGTCTCTCCTTCCCTATCCTTTTGTTTATTGTATTTTGTCTCGGATTATTACAGACCGAGATTTCCAGACTTGTAATTTATAGATGCTTATGTACTCAGTGACATCAGGTGTTGGGAATATGTTTTACCTAGTAATTGTGGGATTTTCTCTTAAACTTAATTATTATTTTTCTAATATTTAAAAGAAGTTGTGAGTTATTGATGTTGTTGGCTTACCTAGTATCGGGATAGGCGCCATCACGACATGTATGATTTTTGGGTCATGACAAGTTGGTATAAGAGCCTAGGTTATATATTTCTCAAGTCATGAGCAGGTTTAGTAGAGTCTTGCGGATCGGTACAGAGACGTCTGTATTTATCTTCGAGAGGCTGTCGAACCCTTAGAAAAATTTCACTTCCTTGTATTCTATCGTGCGGAATTGATTCAGCTTGAAATATAACTCTTTGAATTCATTCCACGTATTTGTGTTCGCATGTGAGCGCTCAGTATCAGCAGTGTATCGCTGGCTTGTGATTCCATGAACAAGGTTCGAGATGAGTATTCTATGTTTTGTTGATGCTCCATTCTGGAGTACTTGAGGCCGGAGTTAGACCGCAGATTAAGCTCGGTAGTTTCGGTTGTGAGAACCTGTGCAATTGGATTTATGTGTTCGGTAGTATTCCTATAAGTGTAATTTGTGGCTCGATGAGTGGTTGAATGACTATATGATAAGTATTATGTGAATGCAGGATGTGTTCATATGGGTTGAATGAGACAAATAAAGTTTACTTGTGACTCAAGAGTTTGCTATTGGGTACTTGATTCCTGTTTTGATGTGACGTACAATCTTGAGTTGTGAGTGCGTTGAGGGATCTGTCATGCTGTTTAATTGTGGAGCGAAGTAGATTTTTATGTCGCGTTGATGAGTTCAAACTCAGAAATATTAAGTGATTCCGTGGTAATCGTGGTTGCGAAAGGGTATAACAATATGCCAACTTGAGGCTAAGCAGATGGGTTATCTCCTGCGGGGTAATCTATGTAGGTGTGTTCCTTATAATATTGAGTGGAGAATTTCTTTTCTACATCTAGGCGTATGTGTTGAGATTTGAATTTGAATCCGGTTGAGAAGGTTGACTTCACTATCACGAGAATAAATGCGAACTTAGCGGATGATTGAGGTATTTTATGGTGGGTGTTGCGTAAGCTTGAGAAGAATTTTCGTTGAACTGACTACAATATTATGGTAGTAATAAAGTATGGGTATTGTGAGTTATGAAGTGTTTTGTTGTATGGCTTTGAGCCAAGTGGGGAGCCTGCTATTGACAATTCAATTTCATGGATATATGTTAAATTTTAGTTTTGGTATGAGGCATACTTGTAGGTTAGTTATGACTTGCAGAGGTGGAGATCGAGGATGACTCGGGTACGAAAATTTCTGGATATGGGTTACATTGCACTTTATGAAAATATATAAATTATGGAATGATTAAGTTGTTATTTTGAAGAATATAGTGCGCATGAAGTATGAATTTGATTGGTCATGTTAAGGCAAGGTTACTTCTTTGAGTGTTGATTGTGCTAAAGGAGCACGTGTCTTTCGACCCGTTTGGGCGGAGCAAATTAGATTTGAGTAGAGTGAATGACTCTCGAGAGGGTTCTAATGGATTCAAAATGTATATGTGGAAATTAAAAAAAAATTGAATTTGTATATCACTAGAATCGGTTACTTATACTGGATGGTATCGGTATGTGCGATAATTCTATTTGACTATAAATTTTACATTTCAGTATAAGAAAGGAAAGAGGAACAATTTTAAATTCACATAAGGTCCTTAAGAGTGGGTGTCTCAGTTGTTGTATTTATGGATATGCTTAAGAAGAATACAATGGTTTATGGGACTTAGGGCAGTGCCATTTTATGTTAGGATGTCTTGTAGTGAGTTTTGGGTAAGGATCGTAGCGTTATGACAAGGAGAAGTATCAACTTGAGGGTAATTCAGAAGAAACTCAAAAAAAAATAGGACAACTAGGTAGTAGGCTAGAGCAGTATGGTAATTGTATGTTCGCTTCTTTTGGGATAATTGTGATGTGGTGAGACTTTACAGATGTTTCGGTGGCAATATTCTTGGATTTGGTGACCTGCATGGCTTGGTGGAGTTAGAGAAATTCGGTTTTGATAGCTTGGTTATGTGCAAATGGATTTGAAAGTGTTATTAATGATTTCTACCATGGTTTAAACTAGATATTTTCTACCGACGTGGGAGACATGTTGTGCATTGTGAATTCCTCATGGATGAGAGAAAATATAAGGTTTCTAATTGACTGGGTATGTAATATACTGGTGACTCAGAGTTAATAATGAGATTTGTGTGCTTGTCACATGATGGCAATAATAGATATGGTGTGTTATGTGGGATTAAGACTTATATTTACAAGGTGGCAGTTCATTCTGGAAATCAAGACCACGAATTATAGACAGAATGATCGATTTCATATGTTTAAACGGATATTATAACTACTCAGTAATCCCTGAGAAGGGTGTGCATTACAAAAGGGGCATTGTGTTTTGACTTTCGGAAGTCATTAGTATTGCGATGCTCACCTGGTTAATAGACTGCTGATATTCCAATTATCTCTATGTGGAACGGGAGGAAATGTGAAAGTATTCCTCATGGGATGATCGTGCGTGAAAGATGTGTTAGTCATTCAAGTGCTGGAGCTGGGACCAATCATGGTGATTCCTATGTTCTATGAATGTGGAGACTGGGGGTTCTCAGAAGCATATTGTTTCAGGTTGCGGCCTGTTTGAGGTGAGTATTTTATTTTAACTCAGTGGAGGCACTAGTTTCCTTTGTGATGACTACGCGCTACGAGTGCGTGTATATATATATATATATATATTTGAGGTTTGAGCCCATGTGCGGGCATCAAGGTAAGTATTTAGACTCGGGAAAATATTTAGACTATGATATGCCTAGAGTTGACAGTTAAGCGTAAAGTTATGACGTTTCTCATATTCGTACCTTTGTTGAGAACCATCTCGGCTATACTTGAGGTTACAAAGAGGCTAATTCCTTAAATAAACTGGGTAGTTACTATTTCTGCGTTCACTTGCCGATTTGAGTTGTGATAGCACACTTTGCATAGGCCTACTCTATGGCATGTTATTTATACCAGTCCAGGAGTATGTGAATTTTATTTCATTTATCATAGACATGTGTACTTATTTGGTTGCTCCTATATGATATGCTTGGACTGGAGGCCTGCGACCATGCCAGGCAGATTATGTTATTGACACGTGAGTTATCCGTGCGGATCCATATATTGATACGATAGCATGTGAGTTATCCGTGCGGGTTGATCTTAATGTAAGCTCTAGGAGAGCTGGTTACCGTTATTAGATTCGTGTGTCTTGGTTTTGCCATGTATGGTGAGCTCATAGCATGTCGGTTGTAGAAGTGCTTATTGAACTTGCGAAACGGTTCTCTTCTTTGAAATATTTTTCCATTTTTAGGTACACAGATTGCGCAGTTTACAGATTGGATTAGATTGGTGTGGCATGTTTGTGGGATAGTTGTATTTAATAATACATGGTCATTGGACCTAGAATGGATACTATCATGTTTGATTATGGTATATTTGGGAGGATGACATTGAAAGTCAGCCTAGAAAGTGATTATGATTCTGGTTGGGGCAAGATAACTCCATGACTTGTAGATCTGATAAAGGGTTATGAGATTCCACGTGTTTCTATTATTATCAGCAGTGTAGGAAAGTTTTGAAACGAGGTTTTGTGGGATGTAGGGTTTAATATAGTAGTACTTGGTTGGTTTGGAGTAGTTATCGATATCGGAAATGGTGCTACGAGTATGTGAGTTGTGTGATATATCATGTGATCACATCGTGAGTTATGGCTATGGCTTGATACAGTTTGTTCGGACTTATACAGTGTGTGGATGTGAGATTCGGGTCTTGAAAAGAATTCTAAATGTTAGAAATGAGGCTCCAAGGTTTTGGGGCTAAGGTTAAATTAATGATTTTCAGTTATGTTGTGTTGTCATGCCTATATAGAATATGATGATGTGGGATCACCCCCCGGTTATGTGCGTAGTAAGGTGGAATAGTGGTTCGAAGATTTAGGAACAACTCTTAGCATGCAGTTTACATCACAGTTTTGGAGGGAAGTACAGCGAGAATTAGGTACACAGGTTCAACTAAGTACAACATTTCACCCTCAGACGGACGGATAGTCCGAGCGTACTATTCAGATATTGGAAGATATGCTACGCGCTTGTGTTATAAATTTCGGGGGTTCTTGGGANAGACCATGATATGCCTAGAGTTGACGGTAAAGCGTAAAGTTATGACGTTTCTCGTATTCGTACCCTTTGTCGAGAACTATCTGGGCTACACTTGAGGTTACAAAGAGGCTAATTCCCTTAATAAATTGGGTAGTTACTATTTCTGCATTAACTTGCCGATTTGAGCAGTGATAGCACACTTTGCACCTGCCTACTATATGGCGTGTTATTTATACCAGTCCAGGATCATGTGAATCTTATTTCATGTATCATATACATGTGTACTTGATTGATTGCTCTTGTATGATATGCCGGGACTGGAGGCATGTGACCATAACATGTGATTTATATTATTGGCAAGTGAGTTGTTCGTGCAGATCTACATATTGGTATCAATGACACATGAGTTGTCTGTGTCGCACGCGAGTTGTCCGTGCAGTGTATGGGAATTTTATTTCTTTGATAATTTATCTGATTTTATTGCTTTCCTTCCTCTACGATAAAAATTACATCAATGACGTATTTAAGGAATTGTGTACATGCGCCTACGGTTATCCTCTTCACAAAATTTGAGGAGTTGGTTGTAACATTGTAGTTGTGGTGGTACTTGTTGAACTTGCAATACGGTTCTCTTCCTTGAGACATCTCCCATAATTAGGTACACATATTGTGCAGTTGTGGCTGGAGTTATATTGATGTGGCGTGTCTGTAGGATAGTTGTGTTTAATAGTATAAGGTCATTGGACCTAGAATGGGTACTATCAGGTTTGATTACGGTATATTCGGGAGGATAATATTGAAAGTCAGCTTAGAAAATGATTATGGTTCTAGTTGGGGAGAGAGAACTTCATGAC